ATGCAGCCTTCACCAATTACTTGTAGGCACCACAGGGACATCTTCCTGGTCTACCTCCAAGGCCACTTAAGAGTCCCTCATCTTGATGCCTGCAACTCATGACTGTTTACCATGATGTAACATAGTTGACTGTGGGCCTGACTCCCTCCTGCACCCAGTCTAGAGCACCTCAGAGGCACACACAAGATCTGGCAGCTTTGTGCAAAGCTGGGTGTTAGAATATTAATTTGACAAAGTTGAACACCTCCAGATCCCTCCCTGTGCTGAGCATCCAGATGTCCTCCCTCACAAGCCTCTCCCTCACCCATTCCACTTAGGCTCTGGTCACTGGCTCCACCCCCAAGAAGCCTTACACCCTGGTCACCTGTACCTGTGGCCCACACCCCCAGTCATTTCTGCTGAGGAGAGATCAGGACCACAGTGTTCTTACTTCCCTGTGCCTGCCATCTCCATCATCTAGTGCCACAACTGAACTAGGCGAACGTGTTGTTCTGTTGGAAGGAGAAAGTGACACTGATACAAGCAGAGCATTTCTTTAAAGCCTGCAAACATGTAAGCGCTCATGTGAATGCCCACTGCAGCAATATGATCGTAGAGTTTGAAGGTCATGGGGACAAGTGGTGGGGACCATGGTGCTCTATGACCACAGTGATCCTCTGGACCAGGGCGGGGTGGGGAAACACCTTCCCTAAGGATGAGGTCGACAGGGACACTACTAATAGGGACAGGGAAATGGCAAGCAGAGACTGAAAAGGAAGAGCTAGAAGTGACTAACTCCACCTCCCAAGGAAGATAGAGACTAAGGCCTCAAGAGTGGCAGGGATGGCCCAAGCCAGGGGCATGGCTGGGCTCTGGATTACTGGCAGGAACCTTTTGAGCAGCCACAATAGGCACTCTGCCAGTGCAGGCCATATATCAGCCTACACCGCCGCCCCCCATTCCCCAGCACCTACCACACTGAGCTGTTCTGGAAGACAACACAGTTGGGTAGGGGGGACACTGTGAAATATGGCAGGTTGCTCTGAGCTCATGCCCCTCATCTGGAAGAAGCAGTACCTCCCCAGAGGGCTGTCATGAGTACTGCATGGCTCACAGAACCCCAGTGTTCCCTATTATCTATTCCGCTACCAGTCTGAGTTCCTCCAGAAGGAAATGGGAGCAAGTCTGGAAATGTTTGGTGAATATATCTGCTGGCCCTGTGCCAGGCACTAGCTGGAGGGTGAGCCCATCACAAGGGTCTGTGCCCTCACAGAACTCTAGGCCAGGTACAGACATCTCCTCAAAAATAAATCACACTCAAATGCACAGCCCAGTCACAACAGTGGCCCAATGCCAGTGAGGGAGCTCATCAAGCACATGGTACGCACGATCAGGAAGACTAACGAACGGGCTCAGGCATGAGAGTCAACAAATGAGCCAGGGTGACAGCCGGAGCCTGAGGACCTGCACTGCAGAGGAGATGGGAAGTACTTCTACGTGTTAAACCAGGGGCAAATCCATCAGCTTTGCAGTGCAGACTGGCATGATCTACGGCATGGAGAACCTTGAAAAGGGCAGGGCTGGGTGTTTGGGTTAACTGGGAAGCTGTTGCAGTAAGCAATCCAGGTGAGAGCTGATGGTCATCTGGATGAGGCAGCCAGTAGCAAACTGGATGCAGAGGGTGAAGAGGACAGAGGTGTGAGGATGTCCCTAACACACACTGCTTCTGGAGGTAGGACTGCCACTGACATGGATCAACAACCCCAAGATTCAGCTGATGTCTGGGCCTCACTGTTGGCCGTTATATATTTTTGTCTTTCCAACCTCATAACTGTGCAAATGAGGAAACTGAAACTTAGTCCTAATGGGAGCCCCTGAGGATCAGGGTAAGACTGGATCTGCCACAGCCAACCCCCTGGGCACCCAGCAATGGGAAGGTACGATTGGTGGTAAAGTCAACACACATGGCCCCTGAGCAGAGCCTGGGTTTCTCAGGAAGTGGGATGGGTAATTTTGATAATTGAATTTTTTAGTTAGACGTAAAATATGGCCAAGATTAAAGAGGCGATTTGGCAGGGCAAGGCCTCCCCAGGCAGCTTTCTCGGCCTCCACAATGCTGAGAACTTATTAACAAGATTACTCTTGCTCTGTCCACGGGCCATGTGCAAGCAGTTCTCTGGGCTACTGTGTCGAGAAATTCAGTTGCGGGTCTCTGGGCCCCTCCCTGGCCCATAAGGAGACATTGCGTCAGAAAGTCCACCTAAGAATGGTTCTAAAGGCCACAGTTTTTCCAGTGGGCATTTTGGGGGGCAGAACGATCCAGAAAGCAGGAAAGAAAACAGGTTCTGACGGACTGTTTCCTCTTTATAAAATAAGTGTGGAGGGACTCAATACGATGAGACACAAGGGGTTACGGACACCTAGGTAGGTTTTTTCCCCTTCAGCCTCAGGTCAGGGAAGTGGGCAGGCAGGCTTCAGGAGTAAGATCAGAGTGCTACTCCCTGGTGGGGCGAGCAGGAGACCGTGTGCCTTTTCCTCTCCTCTATGTATTTAGACCCTGCAGCTGTTCTCTCAGGTGCGGCTGCTGCTCAGGCACACTTCCATCAGTTTTGATTAATTTCACCAGCAGGAAATTGACGCATTTTCTGATTACTGCTTCAGAGTCTCCTGAATTCAGCTGCTGGTAAAATTAACTTACCAGGGACAATGGAGCTTTTTTGAAGGCCCAAATTGTCCTTATTTGTAGGCTTTGTTCTTGGCCCCAATCCAGCCCAAATAAACCAGGCTGCTGCTCAGTCTCCCAGAAAAAGGAGGACCTCCACTAGCCCAAGAGTGGGAATTTTTTAAGCTGGGGAATAAAGACATATTTGCTCTGGATTACTATGTTCCTGAAATGCTGTGGGCAACCTGAAGTAAGCAGCCAGCTGGGCTCCCAGAGGACTGCTCTGCAGAACTTACTCCCAGTTAGAACCAGACTGGCCAGATCCTTGCCCATGACCAAAGTCAGCCCCACAGGCTTCATGATGGACAAGGTAGCATCATTCACTGAAGGAACATCTAAACCCAGGCCTGACTTCAAGCCCAGCCTTGGCTCACTTCAGTGTACTACATACCCACAACCCATACACCCTTGCATTTGTGCCCATTGGACATAGGAACTGTAAATAGGACTTCAAAAACTTGCCTGAGACCAGCCATCAAGAGACACTGAAGAGAGATTGATTTTTGGCAAGGCTTATCCATAAGCTACTTCCAAATTTTGAGGCTCACAACTGTCATCAGGATTAGGCAGAAGGGTAACCCCATTTTCATTTGTGGAAACTGAGGACAGAAACATGAACTGGAGGCTAGAAGCCAGGCCTGCTGTCCTCAGCAGAGCAAGCTTCTGCTCAAGAAGGAAAAAGTAACTCCACGTGACGAGATGCTAAACCTGAGTTTTCACTCACTGGCACGTATGAAACCAAGGTGCCGCTATATAGGAAGCGTGCCAATGACAGGAATCCAGGCGGGAAGGGTCCGTCTTGATCATTTGCCCAGCCCTCACTCAGTGTGTGGAGGTGGAGGACAAATGTCTGATATGAGGCTGGTCCCTGGACTCCCTGCCTGGGCTTCTTCTCCCTCTGCCTCCGGCTGAGCAGCAGCATTACCTCTGAGCATTGCCTATGAAGTGGCAGAGGGTAGTCAGCCTGGGGATTGGGAAGACAGGGGACATCAAGGCCCAGTTCTGCCACCCATATGCTAAGGCCCTCAGCTACTCCGTGAAGACAGGTGATCCTGACAGGTATCCACCACCCCTGCCGGACTGTGGGGGGCTCCAGTGAGGTGATGGGGGAGTGAAGGTGCCTGTGAGCCACAGTGGACTGAGAAATGGAGTTGTTACAATCTCTTGGCAATGTGAAGGCAGCAGGTCCTCTGCCACAGCCTATCCAAGGGCCTGGCCCATTTGCTGAGCTTGCCCTGAGCACCTGCCATGCCTGGGCCAGGCCCTGGGCTGGTGTTGGCCACTCAGTGTAAGCACAAGATGCTCTGAGGAGTGGGGGAGGATTCACAAAGGAGTGGCAGGGTGGGGATTTCAGGAGCAAAGAGGAAGGAGCATTGCCCAACACTAGGGGTTGGAGAGGCTTCAAAGGGGAGAAGATGTTTGAAGGACCACATGAAGTAGCTAGAAAAAAGCAGGAGGCGCACTTCAGAGAAGAGCATCCTGGCCGAGGAAGGGCAGCAGGGCCTGCTGGAGCTGGAGACAGGCCAGCTGGTTTGGAATCCAGCCACAGTGCAAGGAGGTGGAGGAGCCACAGGGGCAGCAGAGACTAGAGTTGAGGTCTTTGTAAACCTTGCTGGGGATTCAGGGCCAGAGAGTGGCAGGAAGCCAGCAATGTGTGGCAGGTTGGGGAACACTGGGCTAGCCTTGAGCCTCATCTGCAAACAGGACCAAGTCCCACTTTGCTTACTTCTCAGGGACATGGTGCAGCTCAGGACAAAAGTTAAGGATAAACAAACATGCAGACCCATGAGACCTGCAGCAAGCAAGTGCACCAGGCAGCATGTGGGCCACAGAGTGGACAGGTCACTAGCATCATGGGGACAGTGCAAATACCACACCCCAGCTGAGACCTCATGCTGCTCCTTCCTAAACTGTAAACACAACAGCTCAGGGGGCTGCTTTACAAGGCAACTGTGAGAAGCTGAGCACCTTGAGGTGTAGGCCCAGTGCTGAGGCCACACTGAATGCATGGAGGAGTCGCTCCTCTCTGGACTCCTGAGTGAGGTCAGTATGAGAGAGATCTGAGGACAATGGAACTCATGAGACCCTGACCTGTCCCCAGTGGGAGTTAGGGACTTAAGCTGCAAAGCTCCACACAAAATAACTAAACCATGCGCTTGAGATGGATTATTTAAGGAGAATCTTCAAACTGGCTCTGGCTGAGAGCTAAGCAAATCTGGGGATGGACACAAAGTCCACCAACACACCCGGCCTCAGGTCAGGGCCCTGCCCCAGATCCAAACGCACAACCACAGAGCTCAAGGCCTTCCCAGTGCCTTGTGACACAGTGCCTGAACCTTGGAGACAGCAACCCTTACACCAATTTTCAGACAGAAGACATTGAGGGAACAACAATTTCCTTTAGGCAGCAGACCTCTCTTCTTGCACACCAGGAGGCACAGTTAGAACAGAGACAGTATGAGCTCAGGGCACAACTTTATTGACTGAAGTTCTCCTCAGGAGCCTGGTCTGCTGGGACTGGACGCTCCTGGGTGGGCACCACCAGGCCTGAGCTAGGAAAACGAGGGAAAAAAGGAGAATTTTAGGGGTCTGAGGTAAGATCCCTGACAGAGTTAAAAGCCATTTTGAAGCTGCTTTCAAAGACATCTTGTTTGATCAGTAAATATTTACAGAACAAAATGACAATAAGACCATACTATACTCACACATCCCATAAAGATGATAAATGCCTACTATGTGACAGTCACCATTTGCTCTACTTCTCACTGGCAAAACAGCATACAAACTTAAAACAGAGCAACCACTGATGACAGCATAATAAAATGGAACTTTTCATGCTCTGCTGGCAGAAAAATACAACTCTTTGTGGAAGCCATGTCTCCCTATCCCACCTTCAATTTCATTCGAAAGAAGCCATTTATGGCTGGGCACCCATTCACCCCCACCCTCAAGGCTTTTGGTGAGACCAGCTTAGAAAGCCTTACCTCCAGGTTTCCTCTGGCCTTCCGAAGGACTTTGTGGGTGACAACCACTAAGGAGAAAAGAAAGATGGGGTAATTAAGAGCAACAGATGTTAGTTGGGCAGGGAGAAAGTTGGGGGCAGGGGGATGAAGCGCCCAGCCTAAAGGGTTGGGACAGGTGGACAACCCCAACACATCTAAGTGAAAGAAGTCAAAGGCCTTCCCTGTCCCTTCACATAACCCAAACCAAATAATCCATCATAAGGGATACATCACAGACATCTCTTTAGCTCTTCACTAAGCCACAGCCTCACAGGGACACAAAGGGTAGAGCACAGCATGCCATTTTACAGAGACAACAATGCTCTGTATGGTCACCTGGCTATTTAGGCACCCTGGGCTCACTGTGTGCTGGGGTGAGCAATGGCCTAGGCCTGAGTAGAGGTCTGGCCCTGTGCAGCACCCAGCATTCTTTGGTATCCTGGGCATTCTGGGAAGCAGTTTGGGAAGCAAACCCATGTGTGAAGGCTCAAGTCAAAGGTCCAGAGAAGTTCTGGGAAGCCAAGGTTTTGCAGAGCAGTTCTTGGAGCAAGATCCTAATGGCCTGGGAGAAAGAACTCTGGGCACTTTTGTCTCCTTCATCTGCCCTTCAGCAGATAGAACAGCCCAACACGGTGTACCTGGGCAAGTGGAGTTCTGCCTACACAGAAGCAGACTAGTAGGTGCATCCTGAGGACACCTGAGCTGTGTTCTGGGCAGGCCTACACTATCAGAACTCCAGGAGGAGGAGTGCCCAGCTCTCAGGGGATATGCCATAAAGGCAGGCTACTCCCTCCCACACTCCTTTGTTGCCCAAAACAAACCTCAGCAGTAGCTTCTGAATGGATTTTGGAGCCTGATCAGGAATGTTTTTCTAAACAGGGCCTAGTGAGGGTTGGGGAATCACTGCTTCTGAGGGGGACAGAGAAGCCTACTGGATCCAGGCCTCTGGCCAATGATGACTAAGCTGAAACAGACTCACCCCCAACAAACAAGGCTACTCCCGGGTTCCTTATGCAGAATATGTGCTCTGTGGTGGCCTGGAGGAAATACTTTTCTTGCTTACAAAAATTTCCATCTGGAGATAATGAGGTCTCTTTGTAATCTGTGACAATATGGGTTCTGTTTTTAATTGAGCAAAAAGAATTTTGGAAGTGGGCTTTGTGTCTCTGGAGAACCCACACCCTGGGACAGGGTGTGCAAATCTGTGTGTGAGTGTGTGTATTTTCCTGGGGAGAGACTATGGCCTTCTCAAGATTCACCAAGGGGCCTGTGATCCAGAAAAGTTAAAGTCCCATGGTATGGAGGTTAAAAATAATCTTGGAAGAGTACTGGATGTTCCCAGTGAACAAAACTTACTGTAAGAGCCAAGGCCACCTGACACAGTTTTGAAGTGGCTCTTACATCTAAACAGCACTACCCGTGTTCCAAAAGACAGACGTGCCCGCTTCGATGAGAAGACGGAGGGACAAAGCGGTAAAGTCCATGTCCCAAACAAGACTGCCCCAGCACAGACAAGTGGATTGCAGCAGGGCCCCACTCAGCTTGAGGCTCTTCTACCTAGGCAGAAGGCTAGCAAGGAAGATGCTGAGTGAGGGGCCCCTGGCCCTGTGAGGTACCAACTGTGACTCATTGAAGACCCCTATCCCTGTGGGATGGGATTACTACCCTCACTTGGCAAAGGAGGATCTGGGCTTGGAAATGAAGCAGGCAGTTCCAGGATCCAGGACCAGTGAGTGGTCTGGATCTCACCTGGATACCTTTCCACACTTTCTCGTGCAGCTTCAGCCCAACTGAGACCCCTCGCTCAACCTCATCACCATGTAAAGAAGGAGGAGGGAAAGCTATTGCAACCATCACTCAATCACTTTAGAGCCAGAAGCAAACCTGAGAGGCTGGAGGGCTTGGGGAATTTCCAGGGGCTCTACTTGTCAGCACAAGTGCAGGACCTGGTGCAAAGGAGACCCAGGACTGCATCAGCCAACCTGGGGTAAGCCCCTCATCCTATCCTAAATCAAGCCAACTCTGGCCAGGCCTCAGAGTGAAATGCCAAGCCAGAGGGAAATGCTGAGAGAAGTTCACAGGTTTCCTACCATGAATGTTGTGCCACCTCTATGCACAGCATTCCGTCCAGACTGACTGACTCAAAGAGGAGAGGGCACACGGTGAGCACCTGCTCTGTCCTCAACATTGGTAGCATCCTCATCCCTATTCTACTGATGAGAAGGCAAAGGTACGTTATATAATAGTTATGACTAGAACCTAGTCTGAATGCTTTGGAATGACTGTCTACAGATAGATACGAAGAATCTAAGGCTCGGAATGAAAGTCCCTCAAGGCAGCTCTCATAGGAAGGTGGAGCTCTGCAGGTCATCTGCAGTCATCGTTTGCTGTGGTGTGGTATGGTTCTGTCCTCTGATCTGCCATGGCAGTGTAAATAACTTATCTGAACCTAATTCTGCCTGCTTCTGAAATCCACCCCCTGGAAAACAGAGTGAACTACATGTGCCTTGCAGCTACTTGGGTCTCGGCTGGGCTGCCAAGGAAGCGATACCAGGTTAGAGCTCTGCTCTCAGATTTGGGCTGTTCAAAGCATTACCCCTCTCTGCCCAGAGAGTAGTCCAAATGCTCCATGGCTGCCTCCACATGTGTGTTGGCACTGTCCAGCAGTGCACTTCTTCTCTATGAGTGACATGAAGCCCTCAGCCAAAACCTTACATCTACCACTCTGTCAAATTGACCTCCCCACTGTATTTCAAACCCATCCCTGTCCTTTACAGCCCTGCCTAGCCCTATCATGGCTCCACTGACCACCTAGGGGACTGCCCTCACAGAGGCCTCTACCTGCTTCCTGGTCCCTCTGTACTCAGCACAGAATTTTTTAATGCACAATGGACTATGCCAGTGTTTGATGCTACTTCTTGAGTTCAGCTCATGGGGTCCTTGTAACTTGGCCTCTATTTTCACTCTTAGCAAAAGCCTTGGCACATCCTAAGCACATTCTGGATTGCTCAGCACTTCTCTTACTCCTCCTTTCAGACTTGGCTCAGAGGCCTCTTCCACCCCCCTTCCAGGACAGAGACATGCCTACCAGCTCAGTGTTGCTGTAATATGCAAGGCACACATCTGTTTCCCCAATGAAAGGATGGTCCTTGGCACCAAGTGGCCCTCTACAAAGGCACTGTAAGTGAGTAGATTTATCTGTGCAAGTCAGAAAAGATCAAGTAGGAAAAGAAGGCACAATCACAAACAGCCTGGGCTGCAAATTGTGTAAGCCAGGACTGGACCATCAGCCCACAGAGGCAAACAGTCAAACGTGGTGTCCACCCCAAGCACTCACTCACACTGATCAAAGATGACTTTTTCCTGGTGCTTGCTCTGTTGTAAAAGCTTTGCAGTGTTCTGCAGCTTCTTTTCTTGTTCAAACAATTTTTTGTGAAGTTTGTTGATCTCTGCCTTCATTTCTTCACTCTAAAGAGAAAAGGAATTAGAAAAATGAACTAAGACTGCAAAAAATTACATAGGAATAATTACAACACCAAATCAGATATGCTCAACTTCACAAGCAAAGGCATTTGAATAAAACTTAGAAGGCTTTTTCTGTCCAACAGATTCCAAAACTGTATAAAAATCCAAGCATGATGAGGAGAAAGAAGTCTCATGACCACTGGTGGAAGCAGACATTGGCAAGGCCCAGCCAGAACACCCTGGCAAGTTCTACCACACTGTAAACGCACTTCAGTCTCGGACCCAGCAATTGCACACCATAGCATTTACCACAGAGTCATAATATAAGCATAAGAAGATGCCCGTGTTCACGGATGTTCACTTCAGCATTGTCAGCAGTAGGAGAAAATAAGCAACCTGATTTGCTGAACTGAATCTGAATAAATAAATCATTGTACCTACATATAAAGGAATAATTTTTCAGCTATTAAAAATGATGTTGAAGGGCTCTATTTATTGATATCAAAACATCAAAAGATGATTTTAATTAGTGACAAAAAAAGCCCAGAACACAGACTGTATACTATACCTAAGGTATTTCTGCTTCATAAAACTGAACACACATATCTACATCTACAGATGTCTATACCAATGTGGTAACAAAACATTAATAGCATTATCCCCAAGAGGTATGATTCAAATTGCTTGAGGGTTGACTCCTTTTAGTTTGTTCCCAAACTTGTCCGTAGAGACTGTATTTATAATCAAATTACAGAGTTTAATTAAATGTTAAGTAAACCTTTGAACTATGTGTATGGACAGAGAGAACTGACTGTACGAAAACTAACATATGCTTTAGAGAAGACCAGATAAAGGCGAGTCGCTGAGAAATACATTTCTGGCAAATGAGGTATGGGTGAGACAACTATAAAAGATGTGGGAGGACCACAGTCTAGAAGAATTCTATATTCAGACTGCTTTGCAAGTGTCTAAGTTTTCTCTTCATCTTAAAGAAACAGAAATTGGAAGTGACAGACATACATTATGGATGTGGTTTATGAAAAAAAGAAGATGTGGAACTCAAATCAGCAGAACTGTATTCAAAGAAAAGGCCTGGCCCTACATCAAAAGAATGGCAAATGAATGTACATTTATCTGGTTTAAGTTAAAGTAAAATGTTTAAGGTGTGTATCATTTTTTTATTTCCTGCCTTAATCTACTTTAAGATTAACCAATCATGTCAGATACACGAACTTCAATGGTTCTTCCAAAAGAAATCCTAATTTAAACATTAGGTTTGCTTTGTCTCGTGTAGGTTAGGAGCCCATGAAGACCTGGTTTCTGGTCACAGCTCCACAGACCACACACATCTTAGTACAAAGTCACCTCACAGCCAGAGTCTTAGTTCCACGTCTGTGGACATTGGAATAACCATCCCTGACTCATTTGTTACCCTGCAGTAAGGTGAGAGTCAGAGGATGGAAGCCAAGGGAATAGTCATTTACTGCCCTATTGGGATAACCCCTATTCTTTCTAGTCAGCTCAGGTGTTATCTCCTTGAGGACGCTTCACCTGATGCCCCCTTCCCTACCAGAAGCCTAGTTCTCCACCACCATTGGCATCTTGGTGGACACAACAATGTCCCCTACTAGCTCCAAGCTCCTCTCTTCCCTGCATTCACCCCTGCCTGATGAAGAGCCAGTGCTGTGACACCATTTGCCAAGTGATGGGTTGATTTTTATTGGTGTTCTCCTAAGACCCTGTACACAAAATTTAAGTTATATACATGTCTGTTGTTCCACTGTATTCAAATCTTCATTTTAACAGCATGAAGACACTATAGTAAAAACACAAGGATTTCAAAGTGCAATTCTGTCACTTCCTAGCTACATGGTATTGAAACAAGTTATTTAACTCCTTAAAGTTTCAGCTCCTACTTCCAGAAGATGGGAGTAAGAACACCTAACTCCAGCTAGTAGCAAAGACTTTGAATGATCCCAACACAAGGACATGCTAAATGTCTGAGATAACGGATATGCCAGTTACTCTGATCTGACCATTATTACATTTGGGATACAGGTACTGAAATGTCACATCATGCCCCATAAATATGTACAATTACTAGTGTCAATTAAACAAAAATATACTAAAAAAAAAGAGGCTTAAGGACATTTAAACCTTACAGTTCAAATGTGCCTCATTGGGCTGTTGGAGTGGCTCAAGTGGTAGAGAACCTGCCTAGCAAGCCTGGCAAAGGTGAGGCCTTGAGTTCAAACCCCAGTACTGCCAAAAAAAAAGAGAGAGAGATCAAATGTGCCTCATTTATGAATTTTTCATTAGCAATGGATTTTACTTTTACATTTTTATTAGCACATACTAATTGTACAATGTGAGAGTTTACTGTGGTATTTCTATATATGCGTAATATACTTTGATCATATTCACCCCCTCTATTACTCTTTCATATCTCCCTATCCCCCATGCCCCCTTTTTAAAAAAAATTGCATCTTTTTTTTTTTTTCTTAAATGGGACTGTATCCAGGGCCTCATGCATGCTAGGCATATACTCAACCACTGAGCTACATCCCCAGATAAAGTTGTGATTTCTAAAAGTGGGTTTTATTTTGATCTTTTCATATATGCCTATCATGTACTTTATCCATATTCTACTTAACTCCCTCTCTATTCCCCCTCCCACCTTCCATTGATTTTCCCCTGCAAATAGTCCTTTTTTCTTCCTTAGATCTACCTTCCTTCCACATATGAGAGAAAACATGCTATATTTGTCTTTCTGAGTCTGGCTCATTTTGCTTAACCTTGTGATATTCACTTTTATTCATTTTCCTGCAAATGACGTAATTTTATTCTTTATAGCTAAATAATATACCATTGTGTATATATATCACATTTCCTTTATCCATTCATCTGTCGATGGGCACCTAGACTGATTCCATAGCTTAGTTACTGTGAGTAGTACTACAATAAACATGGGTGTGCAGGTATCTCTGTTGTGTGCTGACTTGCATTCATTAGGCATATGACCAAGAGTGGTACAAAAGGGTCAAATGAAAGTTCTATTTTTAGTGTCTTGAGGAAACTCTATGCTGATTTCCATAGTGGTTACTGTAATTTACATTCCCACCATCAGTGTATTAGGGTTGCTTTTGCCCCCTGAATACTCAACAGCATTTGTTGTTTTCTTTTTTTTGGTACTGGAGCTTGAACTCAAGGTCTATACCTTGAGCCACTTCATCAGCCCTATTTTTGTGATGGGTTTTTTTTTTTTTTTTTTCAAGATAGGGTCTCCCAATGGCTATTTATCTCAAGAATTGGGAAATTTCCTTCTATCATTTTATTGAGTATACATTCTTAGACTTTAGCCTGTACTTCTTCTATGACCATGATTCATAGGTTTGGTTCTTTTAATGGTGTCCCAGAAGATCTGAATGTTTTGTTCTTATTTTCTTTTTTTATCTGAATATTCTAATTCATCTATTTGCCTTTAAGCCTTGATAGTATATCTCAACTTGATCCAGTCTATTGTCTTGGCTTTCAAGTGAGTATTTTTATTTGACTTACTGAACTTTCATTTACGGAATTTCAGTTTGATATTTTCAGGATTTCTATATCTTTATTGAATTCCTCTTTCATACCCTCTATTTTCTTCCTTATTTCAGTCAGGTATTTATTTGTATTCTCTTTGAATTCATTCAGGTATTCTTACATGTCCTCTTTAATTTTGTTGATCATCGTTATTTTTTTGGGAATTCTTTGGGATTTCATTCACTTCATTTCACTTTAATTAGTCAATTCTTATGGAGTCATTCCCTTTTGGAGGAGTCGTGTTTCCTTGCTTATTTCATATTTCCTGTGAGTCTGCATTGGGATTTGCACATCTGAGGCCAACTAGTTGGTTAGAAGTTCTAATAACCTATAGTCTTTCAGTTCACACTACACAGGAAGGACTGTGTAGTGACTGGATTGAAGTGGACTTTCATATCACTGCTCAAGGCACCAGGCCTGATCTCTAGAACCACTCAGAGGAAAATCAGCTGGGGTCTCTTGAAGTTCTTAGTGTACAGATTCATGTTATATGTGCATTGAGAACAGGCCCATTCAAAGGTCAGTTGTCCATATCTGAGCTCCTTACATTTTAGAAGATTCTTTTTTAGGTACTGGGAGCTGTTGCTGGGCACAAGGACCTTTACAGCTTGTGGACAAGGCAGATTTCCTCTTGCTCCACAGGCCTCCAGTTTATGTCCCTAGGGACAGCAAATGTCAAGACCTTGGGGTATCCCCCAAATGCAGTGGAGGAAGAAAACACTGCACTGGTGGTAGTGAACTGAGGGACTCAGATACTCTCCCTGTCTCAGTGCTTTCTGACTCCATCCAGCACTTTACCACCCTGTGGGTGGGAGGAGGCTGGTGAAATTGTGTGGTTTGCAGGATCTGTGCTCAGAGTTCTCAGTCCAGCTTAGCAACAAACACCCACAATGGGCAGGAAGCTCCTAGAGAGCTGTCCCAGTGCTTTCAAACCCACCCAACAGTTTCCCACTCTGTGGGAAGTGACCTCGGCAAATTGCAGAGTTCTCAAAATCTATGCTCAGAACTCTCAGTCCTATTTGGCAGCAAACACCTGCAGCTAGCAGATAGCTCACGGAGGCTAAACATTCTGTAGTCCAGGTTGGCAGTCACGGGCTCAGTGCTCTCTTTCTGGAATAATACTCAGGTGATGGGACCTGCTCCTCACTAGTGGGAACAGGGCCACTGTACACTATGCCCTTCACTATCTAAGCTCCCTGCTGCCTAAACTTCTCAGTGGGCCCACATCAGACCCTCTCCATGTACACGACCACTTCTGAGGCTGTCTCCCACCCAGACACTGTGGAAGGGTGTCCCTGCCATGATTGTTCCTTGTTTTTACATCCCTATGGTAGCGCAGTCTTGAACAGTAAGACTCGTCTCAACATGGTGCCTCACCATGGTCATCTGAGATACAGGGAGTGAAAAAAATGTGTTTCTTCTCCATGCTAGCCTGTCATGCAAGAAAAGTCACACCCTGAGTGTAATGCTTGGGGGAAATGAAGGCTTGACTCACAGTTAGATCTGCCAGCCTATTATTGAGGCCACCTAGTTTACCTAGTGGTAGAGACTTCACCACCCCCTGTTCCTCCCCTCACACCCAGAGACAGAGCTGGAACTAAAGATTCCTACTTTACTCTGTGCTTTTTGGCTGCCCTCTCTTTCATGGTTTCTAATGCTCTTCCTCTATTTCTGTCTTCAGAATATAGTCTCTCTTTTGTTATCCTGACTCTTCTCATTCATGGAGTTAAAGGAGAAAGCTATGCTCCATCATCTTAGCCCACTCTCTCCAGGAAATCCCATTCAAGAATTTAAAAAAAAGAAAAGGAATGCCTAATTCCCAGAGAGTACAGTAAGGAGTAAAATGAGATGCTGGGTATAGGCACTCAACAGAACAATTGAGCGCTGAGCTCGAAGTCGTGCCCCTCCCAGAAGGCCACAAAATTCTCCATCAGTATTCTGCCTGACTTCTAGGGCAAGGTTTTGTTTTGTTTTGCTTTGCTTGTTCCATTCCCTTTTTATGATACTATCTTAAACTTCTACAAAAATAGAAAAAAAATTGGCTGATGATCCCCTACATACCCTTCATTTTTAGCAATTACCAGTTTGAGGCCAAATTTGTTTCATCTACAGTGTTGCTGTAGATGTAGATTGGTTGAAGCCAATCCTAGAAACTAATCATATCATTCATATATAAAATATTTTAATATATCTCTAGGAAAAGGCTTAAAACCCACAATATCATTAGCATACCCCAAAAATTAAAATAATTCCTCAGTTACAGGTTGAGCTTACCTAATCTGAAAATCCAAAATCCAAAATGCACCAAAATCCAATCCTTTTTCAGATGATGCATTCTAAGCATTTCAGATTTTGGATTTTCAGATTAATGATGCTCAACCCATAAAAACTATGTAAACATTTCAAAATCTGAAAAATGTCTAAAATCTAAAACACTTCTGGTCCCAAGCATTTCAAGTAATGAACACTCAAACTCCATCACCAAGTATGGAGTCAGAGTTAGTGGACACATTTTCCTGATTGCTTCACAGTTTTTTTAAAACAAGTGATTTGATTCAGGATCCAAACATTCACATTTGACATCTGATTATCTCTTAAGTTTCTTTAAATCCCATGGTTTTCACAGCCCATAAGAAGGCTTGTAAAGCCACTATTGGGACTGCTCCCAGAGTAGCTGACTCAGTGGGTCTGGGATGAGGCCCAAGAAATTGCATTTTTGACAAATTTCCAAATGATGCTGATGCTGCAGGATCCAGGATCCACACTTTAAGAGCCACTGTATATCTACAGGTTCCCACATGCTCCAACCCTAAGCTCACATTGTCCATTTCCTGACCAGACCTAGAATCAAGTCATTTCTCCAAGGAACCCTGGCTCCTTTTAGCGGGAAGAAGCACTTAGAAACCACAATTGGGATACAGAGGTGCTTGCTGGTATTGGATCGGATTTTATTTCTTCAGCCTTTTTATGTGGAGTTAGTATATTTTTTTAATAGAAAAATACATCATGAGTTCATGCTAATGTTTACAATTCAAATTTAGGATTACACAATTTTACAGCTATCATTTTTCTCCTACAATAAAAATCTTAGTTCCTAATGAAATTATTTCTTTTGTGTTACAAGAGAAATATAATAGTTTCAGAATATCAATGTCAAAATTATTAACAAGGCAGTTCACATTTAAAAAATTTTTGGCAGTTCTTTTTGCCCTTAAGAATATTTTTCCTAGGGATGTATGCTCAAGCAACTGTGGTATAGTCACTGAAATGTGTCCTTTCTGTGTGGCTATGCCTCCTGTACTATCTACAGTAAGGTTGACTTGTTTCCTCTTACTATGAGTTTTTAGAAATTGCCTCAATTTCCCCATTTTATTTTATTTATAATTATATATTTATATCGTTTTAAGGTCAAATCTATGAAACAAGGTCTATTTAGAGAATCAGCTTCTATCCCTATCCCTCTAATCTTTCCCTAAACATGCCTAAGAGTAGCCTGTTTCATTACTGTTCATCCACCATTTAAAAAAAGATATATAAGCAAGTATGTATCTGTACGTGTTTTTCTCCCACAACTTTCTCGGATGAACTGATGCACACTTTCCAGAGCAGTTCCTTGGGCTGAATGAGACTGTGCATTAAATGCAAAAGGCAAACTGATGATACTCAGAGAAAACACCAGTAAAACACCAGTGGGCTCGCTGCTGCAAATCTGGAACTGTGCTTTACACACATTTCACACTGGGCAAAAGGCACTGTATGGAACAGGAGCAGTGACAGAAAAGTGGCCAGAGGCAATTTAACACCACACAGGAGTCTGTGTGTAACAGCAACCACACTGGAGCATCTCTAGGGTCCTTTGCCTGGCTTTGAAATTCTGTGACATGGAAGTGAATTGCCTAAGAAACCATAAGGAAGAAGGGTAAATTAGCACCAACAGTTCTGGACTGATTTCCAAGTGAGAGAGAATCAATGTGGTTACAATTTTGATATTTGCGTGTGTGTGTGTGTGTGTGTGTGTGTGTGTGTACACACACACACACATGCTAAGAACAAAAACACTGTGATGAAGGTCAATTGTTTAGTTCAAACATGTAATCATTTGGAGCGCGTATGAGAGTTGGGGAGTATGAGAAGAAATTATTCACTCATCCCCATTCATCTATCTACTCATTAATTTAAAAATATAAACAAAATAGACATGGCCCTCTGAAGGAAAACAGAGAGATGGACATTAGGCGAACAACATAGAATTACAATGTATGACAAGGGTTATACTATCACTGAGTGAGCAGGGAGCCCTTTCTGCTATGACATTAACATTTATGCAAAACATGAAGGACAGAAGAAGTCAGTAAGGAACATGCAAGAGAAATGAGCCTATCTGTGTTACCTACGCCTAAAATGGAAAATCTCGGTGGATTAGAAGAAAGAAAAAGTCAATGAGGCTGGAAACCAGTGAGTCCCAACCCTCTTCCAGATGCGCACCTTCTATCCAATACCTTCATCAGATGAACGTGGGCAAAAAAGTAATTTTCCTGTGCCACAAATGGTTATGACTGGTTAAGAATTTCCCTAAGCTTAGTGCACCCAAATTCTTTCCTAGGATCCCAGGAAGGAAATCTCAGGACAGGCTCCTCGTAAGAACCTTCAGAGCCAAGAGGAAGTCTTGCAGGCTATTTCACTGCCATGGTTTATAGGCCTGAGAGCTGTTTAAAGGGGTTTAACTACTAAGGTCATGACACGAAGTGCAAATTTCCCTTCTTCCTTCCTGTTGGTCCCTGGAAAGCACTTATAGGATGGACAAATGAAGGAGGCTCAATCTGCATGCCACTGCGCAGAGGGTTCTGCCTTCATCCCCTGCATGCTTCTCAGTCAGGGAGGGTCCTGACTAGCTAGAGTGGTGCAAACCTTGTCATGATACACTGACAGAAACCAGGACAGGTCTCGAGTGCCTAGCTCTTCACACAGAGGCTCTCACTTCTAGGTAGTTAAAACAGATTTGAATGCGGCCCCCTAAAATCCAATGGAAGCTATCATCAGGGGTCAGAAGGTCCAGACAAAGGCATTTAAAGTGAAAGGGATTGTAAGTAGAAGGAGGGAGGTAGCCCTGAGGACAAACCAGGACTTAAAGCCTGAAAAGTGAAAGTATACCCACTGGGTTCAGATACACGTCTTTAAACGGGTTCCAGAATGCTGACTAAGCACCTCAGCTCCCTGAGCTTCCGTTTCCTCATGTTGGGAGTATGGACAAAGGTGTGCTCTGAGTGGCACACAGTTCGGTCAGGGCTGCAGGCCGTGTTCTTGGGGTGCTAAGGATCAAAGTCACACACACACCTGGTGCCTTCCCCTTCCTGACACTTCTCTTCCAAATTCACACACACTGAGGGCACGATGTCTGAGGGCCAGTCCTGCCCTGGGCATGGAAGGGACCATGACACAGGCCTTAAGTGGTATCCTTGAGACTCTGAAACACATATCAACCAGCTGCTCACCTGCTCACAGTGAAGGGTACACTGGCCATTGTTAGGGAGTGAGACTCTCCAGAGATGCTGCAACAGCCTTGAGGCCTCTTCCAGGACCACCTTGGCTGCAGTCACACTGGAGACAAGCTTGCTCAGAGGTGCTGGGTGTGAACCCTATGGGGGATGAGAAGTCATTAGTGCCATCTTGACAGAGATCATGGACTTACAAGCTTTAATGGGTAGCATAAGTCTCCATACTGCAGGGCTTGTGTTTCATAGACTGTGCAAGAGCCTGGTACCACATGACACCAACTCATTGTTCTTAAATCTGTTGAATTATAGATTATAAGAGAATTTCAACAGTGAGTGTAGTCCAATTAATCAGGACAGATAACCACCAGCATTAACTACAGTTACTACACTAAGAAAGGGAGCCATGGTAGAGCCACTGTAGCCATGGAGACACTCTAGAGCAAATGACCCAACAGCAAGGAGGCAATGCAGACAGCAGAGCTTTGTGAAGTCTCTCTCACTCTCTGCTAGCAAAAGCAAACTCACATGGGTCAGAGTCAAGGACATGACAAAGAATGTAACTCAGAAAAGGGAAAATATTTTTAAAAAGAATAAGAAGAAAACAAATCTGAAGAGCATTTGTCTTCACAAGTAATAAAATAAATATAAAAATAAAACCACATGCCGTTTTAGATATCAAATTGAGAAAAAAGCCAAGCGCTGGTGGCTCATGCCTATAATCCTGACTACTCAGGTGGCAGAGATCAGGAAGACCTCAGTTTGAAGCCAGCCTGGGCAAATAATTCCAAGAGACCCTATCTCGAAAACCCTTCAAAAAAATAGTGTTGGTGGAGTGGCTCAAGGTGAAGGCCCTGAGTTCAAGCCCCAGACTGAAAATAAATAAATAAATAAAAATTGACAAAAAAATCATCATAATAAAAATACTCAATGAGACAAAGGTGTAGTAGACAAACACTTGTTCATAAACAAAGACACAATATTTTTGGAAAGTAATACATTGTTATCAAGATATCTAAAAAGCTCACAACCTTTAAACTAATAATTCCATTTCATATCTGATCAAAAACATGATCATAAATTTATGTATAAAGATGCTCATTTCAATTTATCTGTCCAACAAATAATGAGAGAGTAAATAAACGATGCTATATCAACATGCTAGCTTATTTGGCAGCCATGGAAAGTGCTAGAAAAATATTTAACAAGACAGGAAAAGTGTTAATATCATATTAGCTGAAATATATGACTTATACATTTATGAATAGGTTTGATAAACTTTATGAATGTCCTAAAAATATATATGTCAAAAATTTAAGTGATGACCTCCAGGTGGTGTTTCAATAGATTTTTATGTTTTTCTACAATTTCTAGCTCTTGTAAAAGAAAGATTTTAGTCGGAAAAGAATTTGAATCTTACTAATCTCTCTTGATTTATTCAAGGAAGATTTACCAAGCACCTACTCCACACCCTGCACAGAGGTCCATAACAAAATGTAACTTAAGATGAGAGGGATTCCAGCAGGATGAGGTAGGGAGAAGGGGGAGGTAAATGGATTGAGAAGGATTCCAAATATGGGAGGACAAGTAAGTCAGGGTTGGGGACAGGATGTGGTGGCAGGCAAGTATGGTAGTACATGGCCAGCCTGTTTAGAGGAGGACACACAGGGAAGGGAGATGACTGACAGCAAAGAGGCAGGCAGAAGCCAGCTCAGAAATCAGAGTTCCTAAGTGTCATTGTCCAGAAGAGTTGGTGGCTTCTGCACAAGAGAGGTGACTAGTGCTGTCCTGAAGCTGGAAGCAGTGTCACAATATAAAAAGGGGAGCACTTTGAAAGACAAAGAAATGAGTTCAAGTGTAGACTGCTCCAAGTTACCTCTCAGCATCTCTTAGTAGAAATGGCATCACCTCCTTCACAGGGCTGTTCTGAGGAGGAAGTAAAATATTCAACAAGGTGCTTCCAATGATCTTGAGGCAGACGGAGGACATGTGGTATGAGCAAGCTCATCAATAGGTAATGTAGAAATCATGGTATGATACTCCCTTGTACCCTTTTTTATAACTAAGGACAACTGCACCCTCAGCAGCTTCTCACACTTAAGAGTCCCTAGTGAGCGTCTCTCTCTCACAGCTCTATGATCAGGTTACCTTTGTCCCTGGCTCTGGACTTGTGGGGTACAGAGCCTTCTGGGTTTGAATGTCCATCTCAACAAGGAGCCTCTGGCCCTGGCCAATCTGCTTGCAGAGGGCATCATAGTCCTCAATCAGGCCCAGGACATGGCAGCCATTCTTGCTGGCCCACAAACGGTGGCCAGTGACCAGGCCAGGCATGCATGGTGTGTGGGCAGATGAGCTGCTACTCTCGCAGGAGAGGGAGTCCACATCATTTCTGGAGAACAGAGGAGTGTCTGATGCTGCAAAATGAGAGGCAAAATGTTATATCTATTATGGGCAACACCTGTGTTTGTTGAGCTTATGACACTGAAGCCAGCAAGGAGGGCTGAGAGAGATCAAGGGGAAAAGAAGCCTGATTCCTGGGCCTCGGCCTATGCTTCACCCATAATGAGCTTATTGTTCATTTTGTGAGAAACGCTCACAATGCAAAAGATTGTAATTCAAGTAATGCAAAAGATGCCAGATACAGAAGACAAGACAAGCCAATACCTGCATTCCAGTAGCCCAGGGTCTAGTCAGAATACTGATGCTACAGGAAGCACAACTGCACAGTGATGAGAGTCCAAGCTCAGAAGAAAAAAAAAACTGTCTATGTAGGGAAGGAAAGATCAGGGAAGGCTTCTTGCAAGAAGCAGCAAGTGAGCTGGGTTAAACAGGTAGCCATAATTATGCTAAGTAGAGGTAAAAGGCCTGCTGCCTTTTACTTGTGAATCAACAGAACTAGAGACAGCAGGAAAGGCACTTCACAAAGAAGTTGCATTAATGATGAATCTTGAGGAAGTAGTTGGGACTTCCACTGGTATAGATAAAGGAGGTCTGAAAGTTACAGCGAGAAGAAAGTACAGCCCATCTGTAGGACAGTGGCCCATCTGTGTGGCTACCTTGGCACAGAAGGATAAGGCTGGACAGGCTCCATGGGCTGAAGCCTGGAGGGCCTAAGGTGGTCACACTTTAAGGCAGCAGAAACCAGATGAAGTTGCTGAGGTTGGTAACACCTGAGGATGGATTAGTTGGCCTGGAAGAGATCACCTGCCAAAGATGCTGAGCATCTGAACCTCAAATCCCTGCCAAAAACCCAGGTGGGACCAGAGACCCCCTTTACTTCAATTTAAAAAGTCCTACTGCCACACCCAACTCTGCCACAGTTACCTAGACTCAGTTTTATACCTGATTTTGGTGACACTGCCTGGGTGGAATCAAATGGATCAAACGAATTATCACTTGCTATGGGACATTTGTCACCATCTGCAAAATGTAAAACAAGAGAAGGAAATAAACTTAGCTTTGCTGTCATCAGCACTGGACAAAGGAATGAATGAGAATACAGCAACGTACTTCACATGCTTACATGTTCATTTATTTAGACACACAGCATTCATTCATATCCTCCCTGGGAACCAGTCCTGCCGGCCCCATGCAGGACACTAGACTGACAAGAGCTCTGGAAGAACCCACTTGTCAGACAAGGAAACAGGCAGCTTCATCTTGGTCAGGGCTAAGGGAGGAAAGCACAGGGGCTAACCCCAACGTGGCTTCCCAATAGCTAACACCTGTGTTACATTTTAAGCCTGCTTGTGAATGACCATGGAAAGGGGGGAAAGAAATACCAGGCAAAGGAGCAGCAACATGAACTGTCTTTTAGGAAGAAATAAGTAGTTCCTGCAGCTGAGGCCCAGGTGCCAGGGAAGGACACAGTGGGATGCAGAGCCAGAACCATGAGGACTGTTGGACCCACAGATTGCAGGGCATTAGGTCAGGCAATGCCAAGCTGAGATGTGTGTCTTGGACTGCAGGAGTAAGTCTGGAAGCTACTACAGTAAGCTGAGCAAAGAGAAAAGTGACCCACAGTAGGATTTGGGGGTGATGCATTTGAAACACTGGAAGGAGGCAAAATCAATAGGTGCTGTATATGTGACCTGTGTGACACTGTTAACGTGGAAAGCACTTTCATATTTGAAGAGCTACTGAACTTTCAATAGCCCAGTGGGCAGAATGGCATTGTCATTCAGATTACAGGGAAGGGGTAAAAAACAGCAAGTGATCTGCCCAGAATAACCTAGCATGCCTGTGACAGAGCAAGAACTGTGTCCAGGAATCACTTTCAGCCAAAGACTATAGCCTCTAGAGCAGAACTTTCAAACAGTTATACTAAAACACAGTCCTGAAGCAGCCTTTGCAAAGGAGAAATGCTGCTGCCCACCATGTAAGTCTGATCTAGGTTCAAGGAAGCAGAAGAGCTTTTCCACTGAGCAACACTGTGGGCTCTGAGCATGCTCCTGGAGGCCTGTGGCCAGATTTCAGAAACCTCCTCACTACAGTTGCTCAGTCCTCCTTCCTGGCACACCAGCACAGACTGTCCTCCTGGCTCCAGTCCCACCTCTGCCTCCTGGGTCCTGTCTCCTCTGAGCCCTAAAGAGGGCCAGGGGCACACCTACATTTCATATGGCAAGGACAACACTGAGGAAGTCATGCTGAAATCACCTGTGTGTGACACTTCTGATGTACAGAGCATTTAGAAGGCAGCAACAAGGCACCTCCCCAACCCTATGAGATTCTCCTAGTATACTTTATCCTATAAATACTGTTCATTAGCAAAAAGCATTAACATCAATGCTTATTAAAACTCCATATCAGAGACCACTTTAACTAATGCTTTGATGACTGACAATAATCTGTAAACAATCTCTCGGCAGTCCACAGGAAAGCAAGGGAACGTTTATAATGTAATACTGGGAAAAACACAGAAGACACAGAATGGAACAAAAAACAATTTGAATAACATAAATGCAAGCTTGTATCTGATTAACAAAGAAAAAATGCAAAGGCTAAAAAAAAAATCACTGTGTAGAATCATGAAGGCTATTCTTTCATACTGTTACATCATTGTTTTGGTGAAATTTAAATATCCATACCAAGGAGAAATCAATGAACCAATCCCTGCAAGTTCTAAAGCCAACTGACTGGTGCTGCTTAGCAGATTTGTACTTCTTAAATCAAAGACAACAGACTTAACTCTCAACCTAAGCAAAGATAAGTCCAAAATTTGTTTGTTTTGTTTTTAAAGACAGAGCCTCTTTATGCAGCCCAGGCTGGCTGGGAACTCTCAATCCTCCTGTCTCAGCCAGTGCTGAGATTGCAGGTGTGTGCCATCACACCTAACTAGTCCAAACTTTTGTAAAATCCTCATCTATACAGCATGTTGACACTTCTTACCCCACTGTACTCACCCTACTGTGGGTACCAGGCTCCAGAGGGCAAGTGGGCTAGGGACAGCACTAGACTCAGAGCAGAAAGGGTATCTAGCTCCAGCTCTGGCACCTGCCCGCTGTGTCACTTTAGGCCAACCTCACCCACTCTCTGGGCTTCAGTTCCTTCATCTACAGCACAAAGAGGACAGCCTGGACAATTGTGTAGAGCCTGATCATTTGCTGTTTGTTCTCTGCTTCCTCCGTAGTCTCTGCCGTGCTAGATAAACTCACAAGCGAACACAAACAAACTAACTGTTCTCTACTGGAGGCTTTCCAGACCCTGCAATGTGCTGAAAACCAGAGTAAAAGGGCTGGGTTCTCTTTTAAAAGCATAAGAGGGACCACAAGGCTTTTAAATCTTAGAGTGACATGAGCAGGACTAAATGGATGAGATGGAGGATGACCAAAAGCACTGAAGACAGCTGGAAGCCTGAACTCCACTTCCAGAGACCCAAACACCCCAGTCAGAGATAACTAGTGATCAACTGCCCTGGCTCCTTGGGGACAGTGTGTCTGCTGTCTGTGGAAACACATCTCTGTGGGGTAGGGTGTCATTCAGAAGCTCAAATACTGCACACGGACACACAGAGCTGCACTTTCACAAGATGCAGAGAGGCAGGATTCCCACCATGTTTGTCCAGCTGAAGAGACCACTTAGGGGCAGACAGGGTCTGGACAGCTGGAGAGAGGGCTCCTTCCTGGGTCTGCTTCGCCCCCTGCATCAGCTGCTCCTCCAGCTTGCTCCGCAAGGTGTTGTTGGTTTCGATGCTCTTCTCCAGCTGCACCCGTAGAGCCTGCATCTCAGTCAAGAGGCCCTGCAGGTCACTGAAAGGATCCTGCCCCTTCCAGACTTCTCCAGACACCTCAGCTCGGGCCGCTGTGGACATGTGCACAGGGAGGCACTGATATCCTCCATGATCAAAGTAACCCAATGGTGCTTCAACCCCCACCATCACCCACCTCCCTCTTCCTAAGAACTAGGTACAATTTAAAATAACAACTCAACTTTAAAAACAAAAATATTGGCTGACTTAATTGCTGCTATTCCACAGGCTAAATAAGAGCTGGAAATTAATTTTCACTCCTGGCCATAAAAGCCTAGCAAATTGCACACCAAACCCTGAAATTATGTCTAGTAGTAATAAAACCTATTTGGGCTAGAATTATAGAATGAAAGGGGATGATTTTAAGAGGCACAGTATATTAAAAAGACACAACAGCAAGAGTGAGAGAAGCAACTTGAGGAGAAATGAAAGCTGTGAGATGACCTTTTCTAGATAAACTTTCAATAGGGGGAAACCATCTGTAAAATTAGTTTTAAAATACCCCACTATACCTCAAAATTGATTCTGAAACATTAGACCTTATAGTGGAGTCACTCCGATCTGTCATCTCTCTGGTAACCCAGAGAGGACCAGGGCACAGGTAAGTATACCATAAATGTTTACTGAATGAATGGGAAAAAGGAAATACATGCTAGCAGGAACACTACAATGGAAGTTTTTTCTCGAATGCCTACTACGTGCCAGGTACTAGGCTAGGACATACTGATAAATGACCTCACTCAACATTCACAACACTCCACATTATCAGACGTTAACAGACATGTTTATAGAGGCAGAAACAGTCCCAATGGTTGAAGTGAAGTGAAATGAAGGAGAAGGAGATTATCAATCCTTAAAAGGATATAGACACCTGGTGGATGGGGTTTGGTGATAGCACCTCAGGGAAGAGCTAGAGTTCTGCCCTCAAACTCCTGCTACCCACTGTCTGTCCAGAACGCAAAAAGCCTGGTCCCAAGTGCCTAGTACCTAGATGATGCTTCCTGTGCTCCTCATCCAGCTTCTCATACACCTTCAGCTCCACTCGGAGGGACTGCAGTAGCTTTTCATTCTGTGAGAGCATCTGTTGCCTCAATGTCACCTCCTCCTGTGCCCTGAAATGGCCCCAGCATGGGGGGAAAGGTTAATTCTACCCCAAGGTGGCTTACCCAGATCCTCCCAGGCAGGCCCAAGCCACTTCGGCCAGAAACATGTGGACAGAACTAGGACAAGCATGGCTAAAGAGCTCCATCAAAGCCACCATTTCCCAAATGCCCCATGCCCAGCACTTTACACACATCTTCTCAGGTAATCACGGCTAGCCTGAAGGGTAAGGACCCTCTAATCCTCAATTCAGAGATGAGGAAGCAGAACTCTAAAGGTTCTGCCTCTTACTCAGCCATGAAGAGCTGGAAAAAGAGCTTGGACCTATGCCAGGGCTGTCTGGTGGCAGATAGTGGTACTGCAACAGCCTGCACACCCTGAGCAGGGAGGATGAGGACACTCACCCTGAGGGAGGGAGCACTAGTGAGTATTGACATGGACAACTGAAAACACACATGTGAAACAAGACAGAGTCTCAGGCAGAAACTGTAGATGAATTATCAGTATGACCCTTTTAAAATCTGTGGCAAACTCCTGTCACTCATTTATTCAGAATCAATCTCTCAGTGGCCTCCTATGGCACTCAAGAGTAAAAACCAAACTTCTTGTATGACTAAAGGCCCGGTATGATTCAGCATTTGGTCCCCTCTCTGCCCTCTACCCTCTCCACCAGATGCACTGTCCTGTCTGCTGGGCCAAGGCTGCTATGCCTCAGGACCTATGCACCTTCTGCCAAAAAGGGCCTTCCCCAGATAGTGGCACCTCTCACACCCTTATTGTGCAGCTCTCCACTCAAATAGCATCTTTTCAGAGAGGCCTTCCCTGATCACCCTAGGTGAAAAATAGCAATCCACTCCCAGTCCCCTTCTCCTTCCTTAGATGATCTCCACACACTTTATGCCCACCACACATATGATATACTTATGTTTCTGTCCATCCTACACTCTAGGTAGGGGCTAGTGTGCCTGGACGTGGGGCTGGACGTGGGACCCTACCTGCCCAGCTCCCAATCCAGCTGCTGGTTGTGTCTTTCTTTCTCACTGATGTCCTTCTGTAGCCTCTCATTTTCTTCCTTCACACCAGCATACTCTTGCTGGAGATACTGAAGACTAGCAGCCTTCTTAGAGAGGGACTCTCGTAATTTTTCATTCTCCTTCTGTTTATCTACAAACACCAAAAAGTGCCACTGAGAAGGGATACCATTTGTTTCTTCTAACCTTATTACACAGACACAGCACTTCAGCTCTAGCACTCTAAGAATATAAAAAAGAAACAGATTTAATCTGGCATTTATGATTTTGGCATTCCAATTACCTTATGTATTTTGGGCAGATAAATCTGTCAACATCAAGACTGTAGATTAAACATCACTGGGATGAAATGGACCTGTTTAATTCTCTATCACATAATGGGCCTTACAAACCTGGTTACTTTGCCTTCACAGAGCAAACAGTGGATAGAAACCATAGGCAGAGGAGAGAGGCAAGGCCTTGACTCTGGCATTGGGGGTGGAAAGTCACCAGCCTCCCACAGCCTTCTGCCAACAGGCCAACAGAGCTGAGCAGCAGTCTATGAAGACATCACTTCTGTTGAGGAACAAAACACTCCTGGAGGCACAGAAGATAATAGGGCCAAGAGCAGGGAGAAAGAGCCAAACTGATGGGGTCTAGCACAGCTCCACCATTTGCTGACTTGGGACCTTGAGAGAGATGCTTCACTTCTCCATGCCTCGGCTTCCTCCCGTGTTGGGGTGAGGATGACTGAGTTACCATCTGTATGGGGCTTAGCACTGGGCTTTGTCAGCACATTGGGGGATGAAAGTGTGGCATAAAGATGAGCTGTGAGCAGTGAGGGAGGGAGGTGGTAATGGCCATCACATCTCAGCAGTAACTGCACAGGCATTATATTAAGTCCCTCACATGTACCATCTTAATTGATCTTTACAGCGCATTACCAAGATAGGTACTATGAGTCTCCCAAGCTTCCACCTGGGAAATTAAGGATGGATGAGGCAATACGGCCAGGAAGTGGCAGGGTCTGACCCAGAGTCTCTGGCATGACTCTTGTTTTGTTTTGAGACAAGATCTTGCTATGTAGCTCAGGCTGACCTGGAACTCACTGTTATGTAGCCCAGGCTTGCCTGAAATTTGTGATCCTCTTGCCTCATCCTCTCACTGCTGCAATTATAGGCATGTACCACCATGCCCAGCTTCTGACACCACTCTTAACAACAATGTGAAAACTTCTATGCAAGCTTAGGTACCAGGAAGTTCCATGAACACAGACCTAACAAGCTGCACATGGTTCCTGACTGGTCCACCCTCCTCACTTTTAACCCTGTGTAGGCCTTGCCTGTTTTCCTTCCATTCAGAAGGTCCCAGCTTCTCTGAACTTGAGGCATCCTTGGTCAATCCCTCCTTACCCTTCGAAGCTCAGCCCTTGAAAACCAACAGCTCCTGGGTCAGGATGCCTTCTGCAGGATCCTATAGCTCTCTGGCCTGCTCTTAGTATGGCTAGTCCTCACGTTGGCCTAATGAGCTGTCTGGCTATCTCTCCCATAAGACCATGAGCCCCTAAGGAAAGGGACCAGCACTCATTCATTTCTGTGTCAGTCTTACAGGCCCTGACGTGAACAGGAGACAGGGAATAGTTGCTGAATGAATATTCCGAATGGCCTACAGAAGCCCCAGTTTTGTCTTTTAAGACAAAATCAGATCAATATTATCCAGGGACAGTGGGATAAGCTGGCCCAATTCCCATTCTACCACCACTGGCTCTGTAACCACAGGCAGGCAATTCCCTTGGCCACAGTTTCTTGCCTGTAAGATAGGGCTAATACTACTTTATTCCAGAATCGTTTTAAATACTAAAAGACAACATAAGTGAATGCTCTTTGGGAGCTAAGCTCCACATATGATGAAATAAGAGAAGGATCTTTATAAGAAATACTGGATAAACTGCTTGTAGGAGAAATCTCTGGTTGAGATTTTGGCAAAAATATACTTCTAGTCCTTCTCTTTTTCTCAATAAGGAAGTGGCTGCAGAGAGAGGATAAGTGACAAGGAAACAGAGTAACATTTATTGAGACCCTGTTAGAGACACAGTGGTGAAGGCTTTACACTATTTAATTGTCAGACCATCCTATCAGGTATTCCTTAATCTCTCTAAACCCCAGTTTTCCAGCTATAAAACAGGAATCCTTATAGGACTACTGTGACAATTAAATGGTGTAAAGCTGTCAAAGAGCCACAGGATTCAAACCCAAGTAGGTAGACTCTAGCACCTTCATTCTTTGTATGACACAGAGGTTTTGAAGCCCAGGCTGCAAGTAGCCCCTTAATTCTTACCTCTGGACCCGTTTGCGAGCATGGTACTAAGAGCCTGGTTCTGCTTCCTCAGGAAATTGATCTCTGATGTCAGAGAACTGTGCAGCTCTGATCCATAAGCAAAAATGTTTGTGGAACCTATAAAAGCATACAGAAACAATGATTTATGGACAAACTGTAGGTCAGTATGGATGGAACTTCCTAGAAAACAGTTTTAAACAATGAGGAAATCAACATGCAAACAAAAACCACTCTGGTGATTGTCACAGCCCAAAGGAATAGGACAAGTGGCTTAAAAGAAGAGACAAGAGGGGCACCCTTCATCTTACATGCCCTGAGAGTGAACAAAGCAGAAACCTGGGCAGGGGGGGTGAGTGGGTGACAGTAACAGTCACCAAAGCCAGCTACCTGCTGGGCCTTGCTCCTGAGGCCACTCAGTCCCATAACCAAAGCTGACTCCTCCTGCTCTGACCTCTCTCCCATCTACTCTCCGCTTCAGAAGACAGTGCCACCATGACCCCTAACCCAGTTTTACCTGGAAGTGTTTATAAACCCCCCTCCCTCTTACTGGCAAGCAGGCAATTACAACTGCTGATTCTTCCTCCAAAATGCCTTGGAGCCTGGAAGGCTGTTCTCTGTCTATTGTTCAGGCCTCAGCACCTTGCTCTAACCTTGCCTCCCTCTACTCTGCCAATGAGGTTACCATCCTAAACACAATCCTTTCATTGTTATTCTCTGTTCAAATATATCTGATGGCCCAGCCCTGCGAAAAACAAAACACAGACTCACACTTCTGAGTCAAGAAGCTATGGACCTCCATAGTTTAGCTCTACTCTCGAGACATCTCCACGCCCTCTCCACTCAGAACCCTCATGCCCAAAAGTGCAGCCAGATTGGGCCACTTCTATACCCCACACAAGCCATGTAATCAAAGTTCTCCCTGTATTTGCAGAGTGAGGAACTTTCTTTGCTAGATACCTTCTACCCTCTTCACCTGTCAAAGTTATGCTCTTTCAGCTCCTGACTGAAATCCCCTGCCTTAAAGTGGACACTGCAAAGATCAGGGTCTAAAGCTAGACATAGTGGGTTGAAGGTCATGTCCTCATCAGTAAACACCTCACCAAGCTGTTTTCTATCAGCTGAAACTCACCCCTTCTAGATCAGCCTCTTTCTGGACATCTCCCTTGACCCCCACCTTAGCACTCCCCTCCCTCTAAGCTTTCTCATCTGTACATTCCAAGCTTCCTGCTCCAAGCTGCCCTATGGAGAGCACCTCCTATGTGTGACGTGCCTTCTTTAGGCAGCAGGTAGACACTTCCCTCCTGGTCTCTAAACTGACTGAGTCTACGTGCAACCACAACTGAACTGCCAGATCCCTTCAGTGAGCACTCTGTCAGGGGCCACCTGCAGCCAATGAGAACTGAAGAGAAGGCCGCAGGGAGATTTGCTACCCCTATAAAAAAGAAGACAGAAAGAGGCCCCAGCCTCTTTCCCATGCTTCAGACATTTTCCAGGAAGGATAGGGTGCTGATCATTACTACAGTCATCACAGACACCAACCCCAACCCTGGTATAACTGAGTCATAAGCCCTGCCTCACAACTACCAGCCTCCAGACTTCTCGTCATGTAGGAGAACACAAACACCCATTGTTTATGCTAGATTTTTCCTCATATTTTGTTACCTGCAGCTGAAAGCATCCTGGTATACAACTGAGCACCTACAATGTACAATCAGTTCTCTCAGAAGTTCATACTTTTCCCATTCTACAGCACTATCTGTTTTTTTTTTTCTGCTAATAAGTCACTATCCCATTTGTGAATTTTTAAATTCACCAATGTCTTTCCCTACCATCTTCTTCCACTTTCCCTTATGAATTCTGGTTTTACTTCAGACATCTGGGTTGAACCATGGCTCTGACTTCTTAATAGCTGTAAGACCTCAGGCAAGTCACATCACTAATCTGAGCTAATGCCTTAGCTCAATAGTCCGATGTTGAATCAAGCATGGTGGTTCATGCCTTTGATCCCAGCTACTGGGGAAGCACAGGTAGGATTGTGAGTTCGAAGCCGGCTGAGGCAAAATTAGGAAGACTCTCTCAAAAACAAAAATAAAATAAAACCAAAAGGGCTGGGGAAATGGCTCAAGTGGCAGAGCACTTGCCTAGCATGTTCAAGCCTCTGGTTTCAATCCCAGTACTGGGGGGTGGGGGAAAGACTTATGTGGTCATTATTCCTGCTATTACCATTTGTGTTAACATTACGGTAGATGGTAGGCTGGGGCCAGAAAAGGATCAAAGAGAGATCTGAATGCGCAAGAAAAATTCTACCAATGTCTACACTGACCACAGCTAAGTCACAGTCACACCTGAGCTAACAAAAACCACTTCACTTCTACGAGGCCAGTCTGTCCTCCGAATGCCATAGCAATCAGCCTGGATAACAGAACTGGAAGCTCGAAGACATGAGATGGCAGTTTTTAATAATATGCCACCCCAACACCCCAAACACCCCAAACACCCCAAACACCCCAACACCCCAACACCCTAAACCTGCTCCCAAGCTGAATAGTTTCACAGCAGGGGGAGGCGGGACCGCTTTTATTTCTTTGTCTTTTCAGAGACTATGACAACATGGTGAGAACAGCATGTCTTTCCACCAGTGTAAATACTTTATGAATGCCTTTTTGTAAAACTTCCCGTCAGAGGGAATTACTCTCCAGAGCAATTGCCTGCTCCATTGTAGCCGGTGGCCATTTGAGTCCCCAAATAATTCTATAATTGGATTTGCCAGGGAAAATGTAAAACAGAATGAATCTAATTCAGGCATTACCAAGAGTGGATGTGAAGGGTCCAGGCGTGTATTTCTTTCCTGTGTTTGATATGACTAATAGCTCAGATTAATCAATTTCTCTTGTGGGTGAGAAGGGGAGGATGCAGGATGAGGGTTGAGTGAGTGGAAGGGAAGAAGGGTGTGGGAGAAATGGAACCACTCTGTTTACTTACAAACTGCAGCACATACAATACTTTGGGAAGATGTCCTTTTAAGCTGATGGCTATGGTGGGCTAGAGAGGAATAAGAAGTGGGCTAGGGGTCTAAGGACTTGAGTACTACCAGTGAGTACCATCTGTCTAGAAGTCAGTAATCTTACCTCTAAAAAATGGGAGTGACATTAGGGCCCCTGCCCATTGCGGAGCTTTGCAATGCTGAACTGGTCACTTACATAAAATAAAACAGTAAATAAATAAATAAAACTGATAATGAAAGCAACCATTCATTGAATAAGCAGTGAGCAAGGCACTATTCATGACATTGCCTCATTTAATTTGACAATGACCTTCTTCTATGAAATAATCAAGATTGAGAGAGGAGGTTTACATTGGCGAAAATCACAAAACCAATAAATAGAAGAGATAGAATCCATACTCAAGTCAGTCAAATATCCAAACAAACTTTCTCAGTGTACCAAGCTGCTCTCAAATTCATGGAATGAGGATACTATCTCTGAAGCAAGGACAATGTCCAAGACATGCTGTTTAATGCAAAAGGACAGGATAGTGGACACTGAGTATGCTGCCTTTCGGGTAAGCAAGAGGGAAGATAAAAATACATATTTGTATTTGAATTCTAAAAAAAAGCACTGTAAGAAGCTGGGCACTGGTAGCTCATGCCTGTAATCCTAGCTGCTTGGGAGGCTGATCAGGAATATCATTGTCTGAGGCCAGCCTGACGGCGGGGTGGTGGGGAGTTAGTGAGATCCCATCTCAATCAATAGCTGGGTATGGTAGCGTGTGCCTGTCATCCCAAGCTATACAGAAGGCTGAGAACAGGAGGATCAAGGTCCAGGCTAGTCCAGTTAAAAAACTTCGTAAGACCCCATTATCAATGGGAAAAAGTGATAAGTGCACCTGTCATCCCAGCAATGGTGGGAAGCATAAAATAGGAAGATTTCAGTCCAAACCAGACTGGGCAAAAAGCAAGACCTTGTCTCCAAAGCAGCCAGAGCAAAAAGGGCTGGAGGCATGGCTCAAGTGGTAGAGCACCTGAATTCAAACTCCAATTCTGTCCAAAAAAATCACCGTAAGGATACAGATGGAAACCAAGAGGGGAAGAAGGAAGGGAGAACAGGCTTAACAAGAATGGAGGTTTTAATTTTTGAACTATGTAAATGTCTTCCCTAAAGGAAAAAACATGTTCATGGATAATTGTTTTGCTCAGAGCTAACCTTAGTTACACAGAAATACAGGTGACCTTTTATTGGCATGTGAGATTTACCTGACGACTATAAAACAGTGATACTTTTAATCCTTTACTGAAGAAAAGACAAAAAACGGCTTTGTTCTATTCTAAAATCCCTATCTGTATCTTACAGCTTTCAAAGTCCAAAGAGGAGCCAACCATATTTTAGAAGGCCAGAGCCTGGCAGACTTTTCCAGTGATGGAGAAGTAACCACTTATCAAATGCTTGCCTTGTCCATAGACAGCTTCTTCAGGCAAATATGTCACAGTGAGGTCCTTATGAGCTGTGCCACGCTGTGGGAATGTCCTTCCTTACCTTGATCAGACTCAGAACCCTGCTGTTCCAGGTGCTTTCGTAGCTTCTCATTTGTTTTAATAGAATCTTCCAAACGTTTTCTCAAAGTTCGAATTTCCTGTATGTGTTCCATTAGTAAGTCTACAGGAAAGAAAAGCATTTTTAATTTAAAGTCTGAAGCCCCCAACAAATTGAATAATTTATAGATTATGCGAAGATTTGAAATTCCAAACAGTATTGGATATATTCAGAGTCAGCAACTGGCATTTCCTTCCCAGGCTTGGGGAGGCCAAGCCACTTCCCACAGCCCGTAGACCTAGCTCTGTAATGGTTCTCTGCAACTCTCCACAAGGAAACTACTTTACATCACACAGAAAATTATATTGCATACAATTTTAATGCTAACTCTAATGTAGCCCTTTATTCTTCTCAATATCAAATATTAATTTAAAATCTTCCTTAAAGTGAAACTAACAAATCACTTTCAAGTGTGCCTGAATTGCCTGAGAGTTGATTAAACTACCTGCATAATGAATCTAGATATTTGAGACTAATTTTTTGAAAGCAATATGTTACTCACTTATCATTTATTAATTTAAGACTCAAAAAAAAATAAAGCAAAACAATACTAGTCAGAATGGAAATAAGAAGGTTAATCTCGAGAGTACATCCTATTAGTGTAAGTATAAATGCACAAGGCCTTGTGGGGCTATATGTATCATTTGCCTTAGTAAAGTTCTGTTCCAGTGACTTGCGCCAAATAATTCTACTTCTAGGATTCCATTTAAAGAGATCGCTAGAGATGCTCACAAGCATTTGCCAGAAAGCACGAAAATGCTCATCTGAGCACTGTATGTAACATTAAAAGCTAAAACAACTCAAACTGTTAAATTGCAGTACATCATGCTGCAAAATTATGTAGCTATTAAACTATGTTAAGAAGACTAATACCATGGAAAATTTATCATGTTAGTATGTTAAATTTAAAACAGATACAAAATTGGTTATTCAACATAATCACAACTCTACATAAAAACATACAGACAATAAAAATATCCAAAGGACATAAATACACCTGAATATTAACAGCAGTTACCTTAGGATAGATTTTAGATTTTTCAAAATCTCTATATCACATTTTAACATAATACTTAATAATAGATAAAAATTTAAATATTCCAAATTTCTTAAAATTAGCATGTATTACTTTTTCATTCTCTGCCACATCTCACTTTAACAAAGAAAGAGCACAGTTTCAATCTAAAGGTAGCTTTCTAGAGTCAATGTTTAAAACATAATCACATTAAGTATCCAAAGGCAAAACTAATGTCTTTAATTCATCAATTAGGGTGTACTCAGTATGTCTCAGTAATGTTTGTTTTAAAACATTATACTAATGTTATGACCCAGTTTTAATTCCTCCAAAATGGCTTTCATTTAAAAGTAGCACAATATTACAGATCTTTTCCTAATTAAATAGTAATTTTGCCATGAATTTGAATGTTTATGAGATGACTTAATTCCCAGACCTTCAGCTATCTCATATTAATGTCAGAAGTGTGGCAAGTCATTTGGTGGCATGTCTGCAGCTCTCACTACAGCACGGCACTGAGGGCTCTGTCTGCAACACACTCTTGGCACATCCAGGCACTGTACCTCCCATTGCTGCCTCACTGTCCTGCAAATCTTCCAGCAGCTAGTCAGACCAGAGTTGGATGGACGCCTGTCAGTTTTGACTGCAACCTTCCTTGCTGGTTTACCAAAGTCCCACACCGCTGGCTGTGGGTGGTAAATGCTCCACAGCCATCAATCCAAGCCATGTTCCACTGAGTCTTTGGCGGGGAGCTGGAATCATCCCTTGGGCTTGAGAAAACATTCCCAGTTGAATTGGACACCACATATTAATTATGCAGCCATTCCGAGGAGAAGGAAACACTACACTAGCCTTTACAAAATAAGAGAAAAATATCTGTCTGTCTTACAGTAAGACCTTCTGGCAAATGCTCTTTAAAACCATAAATCCTATAAGAAGCAACAACACACAAAAAAATGTGTGTCTTTTGCCTAGTAGTTCTAATTTAGAGAATCTATGTTAGGAAAATGCCCCCAATTAAAGAAAAAGCTTCATGTTCAGAGATACTCCCCCTGCAGCATTGTTTACAATTGTGAAATTCTGAAAATGACGTACATGTTCAGCAATAGAACATAAGGAAATCTGCAGTTCGGCCATTCATTCAATGGACTGTTCTAATGCCACATTTTCTAAGGAAAGCTTAAATACAATGTTCAGTGAAAAAAAAGAAAAATACTAAATTATTTCTCCACACAGATTTACAAGTAAAGAAAAGGAAAAACAGATGTCAAGAAAAAAAGGCTGAAGAGAAACAAAGATAACAGTGGGTACATTAGGATGGCTCCATAGAGCAATGTCCCTGTTCAGGAAGGTTCCCAGAAGAACAGTAGAAGAGATGCCTAGATGGTTCTGCATTAGAGATAAACAAGGCAGGGAGGTAGACAGGATGGAACAGAAGGAGGGGCCTGCAAGAGGAGTAGGAGGGCACTTCCCAGGACCACAGCCAGCAAGTTGGGAAGAAAAGGAATCTCATAAACTCCATTTTGAGTCCTCTGTGTGGCACATGGTAGCCAGCAACCTCTTTCCAGCTCCTCACAGCCTCCAGTGGTCTGTACCAGAACTCATGAAATAGTCTTGGGGTCTTGAAAGGGACTTAGTGCCACATGGAAGTGGCAGTAGGGACAGGGAAACAATTTGTGATCTGCTCTAAATGAAGGGAAAGCAAAACCTAGACCTAGAAATGGCCAAGAGAAATCAAGTACTCAGAAACTCACAAGCCACAGAAGGTCACCATTAGAAATCCCAAGGTCTGAGGTCCAGGTGACTGGCTGCTAGGGGACCCAGCTGATCCTTGAGTCACACCAAGAATGTGCACTTCAAATTCCAGGTACATCTAAGCTGCCCATTGCCGGGCCCTGCCTATGCATACTTCAGGAGCCTCATAAGCCATCATAGGGGCAAAGGCTACCGTAGGGTCTCTTTGACATATTGGGTGGGACCTCTCTGCAAACATTCATCTGAAATAAAGGGGTCCTACTGCTTAAAAAGGCTTTAATTTTTTTTTTAAATATGAACTACATGATTAAGTGTCTACAAAGAGCCTTCAGCAAGGAAATGCCAGGGTCTGGTGTATGCCATAGAAACACTGTGGTACCTTGTGAAAAACCCACTGGAAGAAGCAAGAGACCAGACTGTCAAGTGAGGCCCACAGTCTACCCGACTGTGCACCAAACCAGTCCAGCGCCTATTTTTTAAATGAGGTTTCACTGGAAGATGGCCAGCCACTCAATTCTTGCAGTGTCTATGGCTGCTGCAACAGCAGAGCTGAGCAACTGCCAGAGATCACACTCCTGCAAAGCTACAAACATTTCTGTCTGTCCCTTTCCCAGAGAAGCTTGCTGATCCCTAGTCCACCTAGTCTGGCCAGTATCGTCCCCTGATCTTTGAAATACATCAAAACACGAGCAGTTTGACTTCTTATCCAAACAGAAAGGAATCAAGATTGCCAGTACAGATGTAAGGCAAAGTGTGCTCAGGGACAGGTTCCTGGCCAATTCTGCCAGCAGCAGAACAAATGTACTGTGTACTAAATGTCTGTATCTCAAAGCTCTTAAGCCCTTAGCTCAGGTGTGATATACAGGAGGTGGGGCCTTTGGGAGGTGATTAGGTCATGAGGACTTAATGCTCATGAATGGGTTTAGTGTCCTTGTTAACACAGAGGGCTCTCTCACTCTCCTTCTTCTATGTGAGGATATAACCTGGAAGAGGACATCACCAGAACCTGACCATGCTGTATGGCACTCCGATCTCAGCCTTCCAGCCTCCAGAACTGTGAAAAATTAATTTCCGCTGTTTGTAAGTCTCCCAGTGTATGGTATTCAGCCAGAGCAGCCTGAATGGACTAAGACAAAGGGCCTAACCCAACCAGCCAAGGGTCACATTAAAGAGAAACACAGCAGATGTATAGAATTACAAATTCTGTACTTATACAAAATGATCAGAATGGGGTTTGGGCACCCCAGGGCATCCGTACAGCTCACAGCAGAAGAGGGCTCATAAGTGACCCTACCTTGAAATGAGCAGAAAGAAACAAAAGTAAGTGAACCAAACTTGCACTGCCCAATTCCAGTGCTATCCAGCCCATCCCTCTGAGAAGAACACATAGGATTGGCAAGTCACATATAAAGCTGTCATTTAAAAAATAACAATGGCTTTTCCCAAGTCACTGACACTTTCACCACCATAGCTTCCTCAACCACAGCTGACACAATGTGAGCAGCTTTGGTCTTCAATGATCTCTTTTCATCACAGAAACAGTCAAATGTCACCATACTCTGCTTACCAAGGGAAGACAGCAGACTACGGTCAAACCTGGCCTCACTTACCTTGAGGGAAACAGCTCGCCACTGCTGGCATCTTCTCAGTCTCACCGTCTTGCTTCTGGTCTCGTGAGAGGAAAGACTTCTCAGACATGTCATCGTCAGACAAAGCATGACAGGCAGAAAGCTCCGAAGATTCGGGTAAAATATGTTGATAGGTTAAGTTGTCTTCATCAGTCCTTAATCATTGGGATTGAAAAATAAGTCATTTCCCACACTCAGACCCCAAGCATGACCTAAGAACACTTGAAGTTGCTTTCCTTTTGTAAGTACCCCACATGTGCAACTTCAATCCGTCCTTTTGTTTTTCTACATTAGGCAATGACATCCTGAAAATAAAAAAGACTCTGTGGGCTTGAGTCTGGAGCTAAGGAAGAAGGGGGAGTGAGGGGACTATGCCTGTCTCACAGTTTGGCTTATAGGGGAATGACCCAAGAGAGGGTCCTGTGTACCAAGTACTGCTCTGTCCCAAGCATTTTGGATCTTTCTTGGTCCTCGCAGACACCCTCTGAGGAAGGGAGTACTATTTTCCCCTACAGCTGGGAGGGTCAAGGCTCACCATAAACCAGCCACTGTCTCAGCTCATAAGCAGCATTACTCAGATCTGACCCAGGCCTATTGGCTCAAAGGCCCCAGAATGTGGGAGTCCAGCCACAGCCATGGTATGGCCTTAAGGATTTAAAACTCTCAAAACCTCTGTGGTCCCCAAGTAGGTCCCAATAGCAACATTCTGGCAATCATCTGGTTATTAACCTGTGTTTCCCAAGGACCACCTAAGCCATGAGGAAAGACAATCTGTAGGCTATGAAGCACCCACATGACTCTTCATTATAGATAAGCTCCTTAATTTAAACTCTTTTCTCTCCCACTTTTCCTATTACTTCTTGTCAGTGGCTGGTGTCATTCTTCATAAGCTCAGACAAGAGCAAAGGACTCAGATGCTGCAATGCATTCATTAACAGGTAAACAACAGATGCAACTGAGCTCAGACAGCACGATGGATGCCTGAGCTTGCTGTTGGCTTACAAAAGTGCAGTGAGTGCAAGAGCACCCATTTAATTAGCTCAGCAGTGACCCATGAGTGTTAAGCTACAGCTGAAAAGGGTGGAACAAGAGGAAAAGAGACAAGTCTGACACATTTGTTGAGGGTAAAAAGGGGTTCTCTGCTTCCTTCCAACTCAGTCTGATAACCGGTACTCCCTCTTTGAAAGGCTCCCTTCTTCCTGTAGAACAGTGTTGGGATGCTTAACATGGCCTTTGTGGACCAGCCCAATGTGCCAGCCTGCCTCTCCAGAGTGCCTCTCCCTAGGCCAGCCTCTCTGCTTAAAGGGCCATGTTTCCCTTGCCTCAGGCACAGATGCTCTCCTGATAAGCCTCACTTGGGAAGCCTTCCTTGTCCTCTTTTACAGTCTGCCTGCCAATGTGATGTGATCTGTTATAAGGGCAGAAGTAGTGGGTTAATTGGGAGGGATAGTTGCTGATACTGCAGAAGGAGAAGGACCATTTCGTTTAAGTTCATAGAAGCCCTGATTAAAATGAGTTGTGGTGCCTCCCAGCCTACTCCCTGTAAAGATGTTGGTAACCTTTGTGATGCCAATAAAAACTAAGATTCTGCGTCCTAGACTGGTCTCTTATTTCTTCATTTTAACCCCCAGGGGTCCAAGAGCTACATCCCCAAAAAGAAGGCAGGTACCCCTTCTTTTTTGATAGTATTCAAAACCTTTAAATGTAAACAGGGGAAGGCAAGATCTTGACATTTTCAGTGGGTCACAAACGCAAGCCTAAGAAAATATACAATTCATGCATTGTCTTTGCCCTCAAAAGACAACACAGAATAACAGTAAAAGCAAGGTGTTAGAGTATGACAGAATCAAGTTCAAGTTCATACCTCAAGAGCTGGTATGCAACTCTAACCCATATGCTCCTTATCTGAAAATGGGAATGAAAATTCTCCCCTTGAAAGGCCAGAAGTAATAAATTAAAAGGCCTAGAGCAGCAGCTGACATACACCAACATCCAGTTAATTCTACCCAGCTCCTGTCCTCTTTTGAGGATTCTGGGAGTAGAGGAATGAGTGCAGAGAGTACTATAATACTATGCAGTAAGTGTCACAAAACTATGTGCCAAGTGCCACAGCAAGAATAACTGATCCTGGGATCAGTGGTGGAGAAGCAAGGCATTGGGGAATGTCAGGTTCATTTCCACTCCAGCTGTCTCTGAGGAATGAGCTTCCAAGGAAGGAGGCAGAGTGTACAATGCACTACCACAGTCAAGAGAACAGGGATCCAGGTAAGACTGCAGCATGAGACAGGGTACATGATGGGACGGGAAAGTGAGCCAGAGGGGCAGGGTGGGAAGATGGGTCAGCCTGAGAAGGGCTCAAATGCCAGATTAAAGAGTTAATTTTATCCTGCTGGTGCCCAGAAGCCAACAGAGGAATATGTCATTTGGTTCAAATCACTTAACAGCAATGCTACGAGTCACCTGAAATTAATGAATGAAGGCTGCAGGACATGCTATGTGGGCTCTTGGTTTTGCAAAGCCATTGTCAGTTTTAGGCAGACACTCTACAACTTGAGCCATTGTCAGTTCTGTAGGAGCTTGTGTCTTGTTTACAAGAAGCAGGAAAATGACAAAATGGGAGAGAGCTGGAATACTAAAAAGGCTGGCCAGTAAACCAAACCAGAAAGTCCTAGAAAGTTTTCTTCATAAATACTAAACACTCACCTCTCTATTGGCTCATTCTGAGGACTCAGTTCCACTCCAGCTGATTTTCCTAGAACCAGAAACAACATCAAGAAAGAAGGGAAATATTTTCAAGTGTTTCCTAATAATTTCTTGCTCCCACATTTACAGAGGCACCACTCTATTTGTTTAAACACTCTTTACGGCAACCTGGATATTGGAAGCACAGTTCAGACCCTAGATGTCTGCATCATCACTGCTCTGGCATGAGTCCTGAACCCACAAAGTGATTACAATGGCATTGCTGGGTGCAGCTCTTTGCCTTTCCTAAAACTCTGATACTAACAGAATATATGCTCATTACGGGAAACAGGTAGCAGAATCACAAAGCCCACTATCTTCCGGGAGCCCTTGCAGACCCGTTCCTGGACTGCCTCCCATTCTTCCTTCCACATATATGGGCAGAGAGGATGCTGTAGTGACTTAATTTGTTCACAAAGTTCTTTAAGCATTTCTCTTGCACAGTTTGCTTTAGAAAACCCAGTTTTAATGAGCACGCTAATATTCCATCACAGGCATACATGTACCACAGTTTTTGCAGTTCCTTATTCAACACTTAGCTCATCCTCACATTTTCATTTTAATAAATAAATGAAACAAACATCTTTGTGCATATGGCTTTCTCTGCATTAAATTATTTCCTTAGGAAAGACTCTGGAAACTGGGATTACCAGGGAAAAGAGTATTCGAGTGCAGCTGAAAAAGCCACTGTCCACAGCAGAAGAAGTGAGTAAAAGAAATAACAAAAGAAAACAAAATAAAGCTCAGGGTGTTGGTGGGCAAGAGACGCTCCGCTCTGTTCCTTTGCTTTCTGAAAAGAAGCAAGAGCCCAGATTTCAAAAAGACTAACAACTTTATTTTAAAAATACTTCAGAAGTCTGGAAATTGCAGCCCGGGATGAGCTCTTTGAAGAAACTGACGCATGGCTAAAGAAAAAACAAACCCTTCTCTAGCTGCACTTGAGAAATGAGCCTATAATTAAACTGCACCCACACAGATGATTTTCAAAACTAATTCTAAAAGGAAAAGTTCTCAAGCGCTGCAGCATGGGGAAAGGATCACTGAAGTGTGCTCATTTGCTGTGCCTCGTGCTTCGGCCCTCAATTCACAGGGTGCCCAGCATGGCCATCTAGGTGCCCTCTCCACTTTACCAGGTTGCCACCTGGGCACCAAGAGCCAATGTAACATAACAAGGGCCTGAAAGGCGCCTTCTGATGAAGGGCACTGTCACCACCAGGAAAGAGTCAAATGGGCCCGAATGACCAGGTGCCTGGCCCTGGTTCTCTAACATCGCTTGTCTCCTTTAGGCTTCACAGCAATCCCCTAAGCACAGGGTTAGTAGCTCCACTTCCCAGCAAAGAAGTGCACTATCTGGGGCTAAATGTTTCCACTCAATTTATTGTACTTTATAGTTAAGCAAGATAGGTAGAGGTATTCTTAAAGTTAGTGTAATCACAAACCTATGCCTGAACCCTCTTGGTCACACCCTGGCCAAACTAGTGTGGGAGTGTGGTTTCTTGGAAGGTAGACAGAGGCTGGCAGCCCTCTATCTGTTACCAGTGAGTACTCTCAGGTCTCCACCTTTCAGTATTCTACATTCCTTTGCAAGGGGTAAATCCACATGTGATCAGGTCAGATTTTAACACCTTGACTGAAAGGTCCAGTGCTCAAAGACCATCTCTAGTGAGCAGGGACAAATGTCTGCTAGAGAACGGCTTCTTCCATCAGCATTTTCTGTGCATGCCTACAATGGGGCTGCTTACTACCTTTCAGTTGATAATAATACTGACCTGACAGTCTAGTCTAGCCTTCCAAACAGCTTGAGGGTTACACAGGTACTGACAGGCAGACAGCAAGGTGATACCCTGCTTCCTGGGGGGATCACTGTTCTTCAGGAGACATTTCCTTCAGGAACACACAGGGTGGCACCCTTGGTTTTGGGCAAACTGTAAGTATGCTGAATCTCCTAACCATAAACCCATCTTAAAACCATCAAAGACCTCTCCTTCATTCAAACAAATTCTGGACCACTTAAGAGCCCTGAGGGGCTCAGCCTTCCTGAGACCTCTCCAGTATGGGACTTTTCTTCTCTTTTCCTCTCTACTTACTAAGCCTCTGCTCTTCACTCAAAAAAAAAAAAAAAAGTGTCCTGAGGTCATGAGCAGCACGAATTTCCCCTTTTTCAAATAAAAGACACTAGTAGAGCCAGCAATAACTCAAAACAACTGCATTCCATGCATTCCCTTATCACAACAGGGTTTTTTAAAGACTAAATGACAAATGGTTATTGTGGGATTCACAGGGAGATCATAACAACTGATGCACTAGATGTCTTGGTGCAAATGCCTCCACACAGGTAACACGGTACCATCTGTCAGGCTATTCCAAAAGCTTAGGATGCATGGCATGCAAATGTTGCTCCTCTTAGGTGTTGCTACACCCAAAAGCTGTGTAGTTTGTGGTAGTGGAGAGGGTTGTGGGGGTTTTCGAACGAAAACCATCTAGCTGTCCCCTCCATGTCTGACCAAGTTAGAAGCCCATTATGCACATGGACTTGTGACAGTGTCCTCTCCACAATGATATACCCTGTTCACTGCTGCCATGTCAATGCCTCTTTGAAATAGAATTCCTCAGCTAAACCCATCCATCCCTCATTGTTCAATTCAAATCACACAGCCTGGTATCCCTTGTATGCTCCCAATGCTTCTTCCTTTCCACTCCACCAAGAATAGGTAGTAAATATTTACAGAGCTCCTCCCAGGGGTCTGGTGAGACACTGAGATGAACAAGGAGTCACCCTACCCTTGGTGAGTTCACATGGTGACTGGGAGGCAGATGGAGACAAGAATAATCCAGCCTGTGCTGCTGGGAGAAAGTTAAAGGCAGCAGAATGAAGCTGTATCTTTTTATTGTTTGTTTTGATACCAGGTCTTGTTATGTAGCCTAGACTGGCCTCTAACTCTCCATGCCTCCCAAATGCTGGGATTATAGACATGTACCAAAATGCCTGGCTTCAGAGCTGTATATCTGAGGCAGGAAGAAACATTTATAAAGGCAAGAAGCAACTAAAGGGCTCTGAGGAGGGCAGATACCAGAGGTAACTGGGAGTCAAAATCCTCCATTTGATCTGCCTGGATCACGAATCTAACATAACTCACATACCCATTACCATTGCAGTCACCTCCCGAGCTCCCTTTATTTGCCAAGAGGACATCAGACATTTTAAATAATCTCATTTAATCCTTACAAACAACTATGTTGGGATAGCTGTCACCGTCTCCATAGAGGAAATCCAACCTTTAAAGGAGAAAATGATCCATGAAGCTGGGTATGAACTCTGATCTCTGTCTCTGAAGGCCTGTTCTTCTTGCCCCAACATCCTTGTGGTAGCCTTTATCACAAGGCCAGACATGAAGGCCACGGGTGAACTTTAGACAACTCAGAAGTGAAGAGGAACTAGATCTTGCTTGCACTCAGGGTAAGCAATGAAAGTTTCCCGGAGGAAAGGCAAACTTTCTACAAGTGGAGAGTGAGGACAACCTTGACAGGAAAGGGACTGGTCTGAACAGAGTGCAGAACTAGAATACACTGTGACTGGGCCACAGACACATAAGACAAGTGTAACCAACTCCAAAGGGTATGAGAAGATAATATCATAGTGGTTAAGAGGACAGTCTATGGAAAACTGCCTGGGATCCCAATCAGATTCTGCCACTTCCTGTGCAACCTTGAACAAGTGAACTGACCTTTTTGTTCCTCATCTGAAATGAGGGTAATACATAATTCTTCCTCGTGAGCTAAGAACAATGCCTGGCATATAGCAAACATTGGATGAGAACCAGCTTTCCTCATTTCCTGGTTGTTTTCTCCATCATTATCATCATAAGGTAGTAGGCTGAAAAGGCAGACTGTGGAAGACCTTGAGAAGGAATATGTGTTTGGAGTTCATCTCTGTAGGCAAAGGAATGCCACAGAGAGGGATTCCTAAAACTGTCTTCTCTTCATATAGCTAAACTTGGGACTGTGTGACTCACTGAGGGCTGTCTCAGTCTTCCTTGTAGCTGCCTCAGTACCTTCTTCCAAAATACCCAAGATATACTATCACCATCCTCATTTATGCAACTGCTCTTGGGAGGCACCATGAATGATATGGTAGAAAAGCTGGTTGCAATACCAGTTCCCGATCTACTTTGGGTCCCAGTCCTCTTGGGGAATCTAAAAGTTGTAGACCTCACCTCAGAAAAATGCATATACCCACAACATCCTGTAGAGTTCCAAAACCCTAGTAGAATCCCTAATTTAATGGAGTTAGGGAGAAATCACAGCTCTACCACTTACAAGCATTAAGGAACCACACTATTATCCTATTTCTTAGAGTCTACCAATTAAATATTATGAAAAAATAGGAAGGATATGCACAGAGATTCCAATATAGTGTTTTTCATATAGCCCAAAACTGAATACAACCTAAATGTCCCTGTAACGGGAAATGATTAAATAAATTATGTTACATTATACAAAAGAATGCTCTGCAGCTACTAAAACTTACAGTATATATTAATATTTATCATCTATAACCGAACAAAGGAGGAGGTTACAAACAGTCTCATTTCCATAAAAAATACACACATGTATTATAATAAGGTCTTGGCATATAAACTCCAGGGTGTTCATGTATTACTGTATAAATGATACAATTATAGTAGCATTTGCTTATCTGTCATTTCACAGTAAAGATGTTTTGCACTGATTTTTAAGTCTATATTTAAATTTTTAAGAACTCATGCCATGCAAATGCCTCAAAATATAAAACTACTTTGTGGTAAGCTCATTTCATAATTCAAGAGCCAGACTCCTTACATGGCACCCAAGACCTACCTCCACGTTACTTTCTATTTTCTATGAACAGGAGCTGTTGGGTCCCTGGGATTTCCATGCCTTTTGTAGAAGATAATGAAGTTCTATGTTTGTGTTGTCTGCTAAGTTTGAAATGTTCCTGCCTCTGAACCCACAGGAAAAAGGAAGTGGGATCTCCTTGAGCTTATCAAAGTCACTGACTGAAAAGGAAATCAAGGGGAGGTTGGGTGAGGGAGGGGCAGCTAGTACCAGAGATGCTTTCCCTCATGCTCCCACTGCCAGGTCCCAGGTGGGGGCTGCTGGAAGAACAGACAGAAAGAAATGCC